TCTTTTCTGCCCCTTTTAGCATGACACCTGGCAGGGGTGAAAAGGAAACAATGAAGTACATCCTTTGTCACCAAGACAATAGAACAAAGTCTTGCACATGACACTCCACTAAGCAAGAGTAGTTTACTTAGGTATTGCAATTTTCAGGGTGAGTGCAAAATTGTCTGGAAACTACAGAGAAAGTAAAGTATCAATGGCGCAATGTCAAATGTGGGAACATACATTTTGAAGAACTCTGCAAGGATCTGTCCTGCATCTGAACACACTGAAATTCTTGCTAACAGTCTGGACTGCAGAATTGAACAAATTTATTACATTTGTATATGACAGAGGAAAATAGGCTTAAATTCAAAGTGATTTTGGTAAACTGGATAAATATTCCAGAAAAAAGTTATATACAGTAAAGACAGTACAAACAGGAGAAATATTCAGCCATAGAAATAGAGACAATGAATTAGGTGTTCTTGAGGGAAACAAAACAAACTAGAGCTTAAATTTTATCACAAAATGGTCATTAGTTAACAAGCTACTGCTGTTACAACAAAGCTTCCATTCCACATGGAAGCATGGAAAAACAGAACACACTGTGACACATCCACAATTATCCTTCTTTTCTTATAAACACTTAAAAAGGTCCCAAGCAGCTTATTAGCTCCAGCTTTGAACATCGCACTTCAAATCCAAACCAGTTGAAGACAGTCCTGATGAAAGCCGGAAGTGACATTAGATCTTGAGACATCCTGGAGTGCCAATGGAACAGTGTTTGGAAGTGGACTTTGACTATGTGAAGACTGAGAGAAATACTCTGCTTGCTGTCCCTTTGGTGGCTATTGTAATACTCTGAAATTACAGTAAGGAAAGTTCAGGTTAAACATTAAGGAACAGTTTGCAACGGCAAGTCAGAACAGATTGCCTGAGGAGGCTGGAGTTGTGCTATTGCTGGAGGACTTCAGAATTGGTTAGACAACCACTTGTCAAAAATGACACAGATGTAGCTGATTGTGCCTTGGGGCAGAGCCATGGAAGAGCTGACCTCGCAAGGTCCCTTCCAGTCCTACTTTTATGTAAAGAGCATTATGCTATTTCCTCCCATCCCACCTTCATCGCTCAGTTTTCCTGTTCCTCCCACAAGCTTTCTTTTATCTCCAGCTACTCTCCTAAAAATAACCTTTAACTGCCTCTTGTTTTATGCATATGTAGGAAATCCTTTCTGCACAAGACAGTTCTGTGGATGGACAAGACTGATCTCACCTATGGAAAAGGAGAGGACTAGTTCTCATCATTTGTAGAGATGCACTGTGGTTACAGAAAGAGGATTCTTACTGTAGGATTAAGACATAGACATTCAGAAATATTTTAGCCACCAATAGAAACATGGACTGTCACGGAAGCGGTAGCTTTCTACATGCAAGACAGAAAAAAAAAAAGAAGTTAGATATACCTTTATTTTTCAATATTCATTCTGAACACGTTAATGTTACAAGTCTCGTACACACTTTCCACTGTTTGATGTGACAAAGCTTAAAGGGCACTAGGTCCTAGTAAGCTTAACCTGAGTGTCCTCCTCTTTTGCTTAGAGGAGTTAGTTTGAAAAGAAAAGGTAATTGCACTGCGTGGTCAGAACGAGCAGCTGAACTCTGACCAGAAGCCCAAACGGGTTCGATTGCAACAAGCTGGGTACAAGTCGACATTGCTTTGAACATCTCCTTCCCTCGGCTACCGAAGTGGGGGGTGACCGCGTTTCGGAGAAGGCTGGAGCTGCTGGGGTTGCGGTCGGGCAGCCTCGGGAAAGGCGGCGCCGCGGGGGGAGCGCGGGGATAGCCCGGTAGGTGAGCGCCCCGACACTGCCCGGCGGAGCGGTCCGGGCCCCAAGGCAGGGAGCAGCCCGCGGGCTCTCCGCGCGGTTCCCCCCGCGTTTCACGTAGCGCCGAGGAGGACGGACCGGAACGGGAATTCCAAACCCTGTCCCCGGTGCGCGGCGGCAGAACCGGCAGCAACAGCAGCAGCACCGCCCGGCTCCGGCCCGCGGAACCCGCGCCAGGCTCCCGCTCAGCACCTCGTCCGCCGGGGGAAAAGCCGCGGAGCCGGCGGATGGCGCACATGGGGCGGCCGGGATGAGGAGGCGCGGTGGGGCGGGCCCGATGTCGCCTGCCCCCGGCCCGGTCGGCGCACGTGGTGGCGGGGGGCGCGGGGCCGCCTTTCCCTGCCCGCCTCCCCGGCGCGGACGGGCGCGCTGTGCACCTGCTCCGGCATCAGCTCTCTTTTCTTGATTTTTTATTTTTTAAACTCTTGCTTAGCAAATTGCGCGTGATGAGCTCATGATGCCGCGCCCCCCGGCCCGGGCCCGGGCAGGCAGGGGGACGTGAGGCGGGCGGGCGAGGCCAGCTGCGGGGGCTGCGCGCAGCGCCAGCGCTCCGGCGGAGCCGGGCGGAGGGGGCGCTCTTGGTCCCACGCCGCTTAGAGGACTTGGGTTGTAGGGCTTTTCCCTCTTTTTTTTTTTTTTTTAATATATATTTCTGTTGCCCCTCTGGCGCCGTGTGCCGGGCTGTTTGCCGCTCTGTGCGCAGGTGGATCCATGAGCTCCCCCAGGCGCGGCACCGCCGCCGCGCAGCACCGCGCCGGGGCGGGGGGAGCGGCCGCCAGCCTCGGCCCCGCCGCCGCCGCCGCGGGGGGTGGCCCCGCCCGGGCACGGGGTGGGCAGGCGTGAGGAAGGCGAAGTTTCTCCGCGGCTCCGGGCCCCTCGCAGGGACAGCGGGGAGGGAAGGACTTGGCCCCGTGGTGCTGGGGGAGCTGACACCGCCGCCGCCAGCAGAGCAGCCCGGCTTTGGCCATGAAGAGGAAACAGAAGAGGTTTCTGCAAATGACGCTGCTCTTCACCGCGGCTCTGATTTTCCTGCCTGACATCGGCCTCTGGTCTCTCTACAAGGAGAAGCACCTGGTGAAGCCGCCCGAGCCCGCCGAGCCGCAGGTAGGTCCGAAGCCGCCCGGGAGCCCAGCCCACCCCGCCGTGCCCCGCCGCGCTGCCGCCTCCCGGGGCACGGCCCGGCCCCGGCGCAGGGTGCGCGGAGCGGGGAGCGGCAGCACGTGCGCTCGTCCTGCCGCCGCGCCGGGGAGAGAAAGTTGTGAGCGAACATCTGAGCCCGCCGGGCTGGGCTTCGCCGGCAAGGACGGGGGTGAGCAGTCACACAGGCTGCCTGTGAAATTAGGAGGAATTGGGATTTTGTGTGCTTCGTTGGTGAGCCGAGGGTGATGCTGGGCTCTGATTTTCATTACGAGAAGTGGAGGTTTTACCGCAACTTTTGTTTGCCTGTCTGCAATACTTCTCGAACTGATGTGTGGTTGTAGGTCCGCTGAAATTGCTCGAAATCCGTCTAGGTGTCTTACCGCCGAGATTTTGTTTTTCTTCTGTTGAAAACTCGACAGAAGTGACTGGCAGTATTTTTCTCTTCTGAATATTACTATTGTGACCTGATACAGCTACGCTGTGTGTAACTGCTTGTCAGACTGATGTCACAACAAACTCCCGAATATTTTCAGTTTACTATTTCCTCGATCACCATTATTAATAACAGCAGTTGATATAAGCTGTTTTTTTTTTCTTGAGTTATTCTTTGACTTACTGGGTTTGTGTATGGCTCATAAATCACAGTATGACCTGCATTAAATGAAGTTTAGTTTTAAGGAGTTGTTGTAATGCAGTTCTTTATAACCTTGCCCGTAATTTACCAAAGCTTATGTTTGCTCAGTTCAACAGTGCTATGCTCCTACACTATAATTGTCAGTGTAATTTAAATTTAACATGATATTTCATAGATCGTTAGTAAGAAATTAAGGAATTGTCTGGTCATTTAACTTGTTTACCACTTGCATAGCCTTCATGTTAGAATGTATTAGGTGGCATAATTTATAATTTTATTGTATTAGTAGTCTTCATTTCAAGGGTCCTCACCCATGTATGTGATGCACTTCCTACATACTAAACTTATTTAAATCAATGACTTAAACTGAAGAGTAACATATTTGATTCTTTGTTAGTATAGCTATCCATTACAGAAGTTAGTCCTCCAAAATATCATAACTTTGGTTAATGAAATATCCTGAATATTACTAGAGGAGGAAGTTAGGAATAGCTTCTTAATTTGAAGCTTACTTTATCTGTCCATGGGTTTTAAAATGCAGTAGGTGTCAGGTGCTAGAATTTAGTTGGAAGTAATTTCTGCTGAAAGAAAATTATACACAATCATAAGTGTCTGTCATTAGTTTACAAGGTGCACACTACAGTCTTTTCAGTTTCCAATGCAAATAATGATTTCCATGTGTTGCATGGCTCTTAAGAACACACATGCCTTGACGTAAGATGATATTTCTAATGTTCAAGACTGCACTCTTAAGTAGAGCATGATTGGTTAGCAGTCAAAGGGAGATAACTTTTTTTTTTAAATAAAAAAAAAGAAAAAAGGGTTCTGGATAAAGTGGTGGAAGAAAACCTTGGAAATAAGCAGCTGAGCATACATGAAGGGCTAGTGAGACTTGCTAATGAGACCCCAGAAAATTTTAAATCCTACATTTTCTGAAGAGGTCTTTTTACTAGCTTCCTTTTTTCTCTTTTTTTCTTTTTCCCCTTCCCTTTTCTCCCATCCTGAATACTAATTGAGGAGTAATGGGACTGTTTAATGGGAAAACAGTAAAAATGAGCAGTGCAACTTTGAACCTTACAACTGACTCTGGTGTTATTCTGTTATCACGGTAAGTATTGAAATCATGTTGGCAATGTCATTTACCCAGTGGGGAAAACAGGTTGAAGTACAGGTGATAATGCAGTTAGGTTACTTGTGTCTTTAGCTGTGGACATTATAACCCAAAATACTTAGAAGGAACAAGAGTTGAAATACAAGTTTGAGTTCAACTCCCTTAAATACAAAGGAAATGGTAAGACTTCCTTGAGACTTCACTAAAAATGAGGTCCTGTGAGAAGATACTGCTTTAGAACTAGTATCATAGTAGAACTGTTAACTTTCTTTTTCCCTAGTAATTTAGTAAGGCATGCAAGAATTTACACACTCAGCGCAGTCATTCTTTGCCCTTGAGGTGTTCAGTTACTTTATACTTAGTGTGATTTAACACAAGTTTAGATGTCAGTCGTACTGAAACTGCAGCAGACTTTTCTTATGTATTCTAAGATTGTGTTAGGTTACATAGGTATGTATTTAGAGTCAGCATGTGATAGTGATGTATAGTCGGTCTGCTGTGGTGTGTCCTGACCAGGGAAGAGAGGTAGAGCTGTCTGTGGCTTCAATAATTTGATTACAGGCTGAAGTGGTTTTGTCCTCATGGGTAAAATGTGTGTCTAGTGGTATTCTGATATTGACAGTAACGTTTATAAATGTGCCATCTTGTTTTAAGAACAATTAAATTCATATTATTGATCATCAGGTGTTTTTGAAGAGATGGCATAGGGAAATGATGTTTTGCCTAGTTATAAATTAAATTTCCCAATTTATCGCTAAAACAGACATCCCCAGACTTCCCTGTGAATGAGGGCTCTGTCAGCCTCTCCTATCACTTCAA